TAATGTGTATGTGTATACACATTGAAATAAACCGTGCTCTTCTAAAGCGCGGCTCTAGAATCCCACACCAAATTCTCCGTTATGAACCAAAGTACGAAGATAATTAGGAAGACCCCATTAACACTTGCATGAGGCGGTAACTGGCCACCGGGCGTAGGACCTGGAGGGCTAATAATGATGGTGAAGAGTCATGCCAACTTGATCTGTCAAGCCAGATCAATATGCTAAAAACTTGTTTGATACTGATTATATTACCGCTAATGAACTTAAAAATTCATCAATGTCGGAGTCATATTTGCATGTTTTGCAAGATTGATTGCACATATTTACATAACGCAGATTTTTAAGTATAAATATATAAATATATATATATATATTCACGACCAGAACGCATGTTCATTTTCGAACATCACTTTGCATCAAAATCGTTTTCTGCTGTTCATGAAGCGTCAGTGCGTATCCTGACAAGAAAATTATCGAACAATAGTGCAATACACCGACTGGCTACAATGTTTCGAGGGCTAAGAAAGCGCTTGTCTGTGACAAAACTGCTTAAATTATGGGTAAACTGATTTCAAGCCGTGAAACACCGCGATACAGCTGCAAGGATTCGATATCACTGTTGGTTTCGTATTTTTGCTCGTGAAAATGTTCATGTGTGGTAGTTAGGGTCATGTATTTTTTAATTAACGTTCTGTGAATTTGGTTCTTTGTCGGCCCTAAGGGGTGTCACAAGAAATACCATTCCTCACATAGTGCCACAATACGTGAAGGAGGTTATGGGCCTACGTCGAAGTTCTGTCACGTGACTTGTGCGTGTGTGTGTACGTAGACAAGATCTAAAATAATCAATCATACAGACTTCGTGATGAAGAATTACAGGATTTTCTAAAAATTTGTTCGTATTTTATAGTTTATTTAACAACTCAGGTTAATTATGGAACTCTACCATTGCCGTGAAGGATGAATTAAGACAATTACGAGGGAAGAGCTATTGAAGAAAGTCAGAAAAAATCCTTTGTCAAGAGTCCTGTGTATAACGTATAATAATACTCTATGAATTAAGGTTTGTTTTGTTCCTTACAAAGGCGTCGATTTTGTGGTGGGATTTTCGTTTCAAATTGATGCGTTGTTTGGTGTATAACGTGCAGAACACCTTGAAAGCTGTGTCAGTGTCGAAGAGCGTAAATTGACAGACTGAATCAGTGTGGCCATAACTGAAAACGCCTTGTAGAAACTTGGAAGCCGAGTTGTGCGTTGGGAAGGCGAGACCCACCCTCCCCAAAGGTCTTAATGAGAGAAAGTGAACAGGGCTGGGGGGTGAGTGCCTGGGATAGGAATGCTCGAACGCTCGACGTCGAAACAGTGGGTCGAATCTCTCTAGTCGATATTCACGTTTTCGACTCCTTCAAAAACGATTCAAATCACAAATAAGAATTTAATATTGACATAAAATAAAAATGGCATTTGTATCAAATTAAAAAATATGATATTGTTCTTTTGAGTAGTGATGCCGTGTAGACTCGTGGACACCGACGTTTCGGAAGAACATACTGTTTTCATCTTCAACTCTGAAGATGGATACGGTACGTTTTTTGAAACACTGGCTGTGTTTACGAATTTACATGGCTTTCCTACCCACAAGAACAAGTTTGCCATTTTGAACGCCGTGAAAGCACTCATATATGTTATAACTTGAAACATATTTTGATACGTTTTGAATTTAACGAAATACAAAGAAAATATTTTAAAATATTCTTTTTAATGAAATGGTATTTCCACACTTGTTAGGGCATCTCTGAATGTAATGGCAATCAATAACCAGAACACGAAAGTAAACCAAACTTGAAAAGCGCCATGTATATATTACATACATCTCAGACAATGGGCGATGTTCAACATAAATTCAGTGTAATGAATGAATGATTGTCGCAGCTTTAGAAAACCAAAGACGTAATGCCATTAGCCGGCGTCTTAAGAGCGTCCGTGAGAAACTCGCAAGTGTGATCAAGTAGTGATAACAGTACAATTCAGAAGCCAGTTCAGAAGTTCTTTGTGTAATGCCGCAGTTGGCAAGGAATAGGACGGACACCTAGTGATGCATAGCCTCGCCTCCTCTCGGCCCTTACAATCAAACAGAAACAAAATCAAAGTCAGCTGCAGCTTTCTGAAAGGTGTACTTCGAGGCGCTTTCATTCGGCTGGCTTCAAGAGAATACTGAACACAGAAAAGAGGACACGTCCGAAGTCCAACTTTGTCCCTTTGAAACTCCATTTTGTCTCTTTGCAGTATTTTTTACACCTTCGCTTCTACACAATTTATTTATTTTGCTTTCGTTTACTTCCGTTGTCCAAGATATTAGAAGTTCGGTTTCGCAAATTTATTTATTTACTTATTTATTTTTGTTGTTATTTTGTTTGTTTATTTGTTTGGCACCGTGTTTGATTGTAGAGTTTAAAAATATCCAAAACTATAATTTTACCAATTATTTTGTACTGGCGTAAAACTTTATCTTATGCCTTAATGTAAAAACACAGAGGATGTTTGAGAACAGTAATAAAACATGTAGTAACAAGAAAATGGAGAAAATTACAAAACCAAGAACTTCATAGTGATATATGGTAGAGATAATAAATACTTACAAAATTTTAGCAAGCGTACGTGATATAATATACACTAATTTTAAAATTTGATCTTAAAGAAGTAGGGTAAAAGAATATGGATTTAATTAATTTGGTTAAGGGTAGGGTTCGTTGGTGGGCTATTGAGAATAAGATAATAATCCTTTTGGATTCATAAAATACGAGAGAATTTTTTTAAAATCTAATAATCTCTCTAATAGCTTCTGAAGGAGCGCGCTCCTCATTGCAGGTAATTCTTAGCTAGTTCTGCAGTACAGGATTCTGCAGTACACACACACACACCTCTCCACGCTTTCTCTTTCAGCCCATTTCCAGTCACTTCTCAAGTCCTGGCTCGTTCCTCATTCCTTCACACAAATGCACACCCACGCTTACACACGCCGTGTCTCTCCTTCACTTGAAGAAGCCCCTCGCGTAAAAGTAACCATTAATTTAATCTCATAATTGAAACTGTCGACTCAGTTTATGAAGGCAATACATTACGTTAGCCAGGAGCAGTAGAAAGCTACGTGGATGTTTCGCACTTCACACAAGTGTCTTTGGCGAGGGGAAGGGTTCTTTCTTTTAAAAGACGTTTCCCATACGCCACGTGACGAAACATGGTTAAGAGCCTGTGAGAGAATGAATTAGGCCACGTAATGGCCGCTCTGTTTCCATGTATGTGCTTAGCATGCGAAAACGCAAGGCTCAGCCCTGTGTAGT